ATCAATAGCTTATTCCTTTTTATTGCTGAGTAATAATTCCATTTATGGATGTACCACAGCTTGCTTATCCATTCACCTATTGGATGATTCTCATTTTGGTGATTATGTATAAAGCTACTATAAACCTTCAAGTATAGGTTTTGGTATGAGCATAAGTTTTCATTTATTTTGGTTAAATACTTAGGAGTGGCATTGCTGTTGAAAACCATAATCATCTGGGTTTTTTTTTATTAATATAGAGAATAATATTGATTTCTTTTTGTCAAATGTTAAAGTAACCTTGGCAAACCCCTTATAGTCATAATTATTTTCCTTTTTATAAATGATTAGATTCTATTTGCCCAAATTTTATTGCGGATTTTTGATGCTATGTTTATTCATTAGTTTTGATTCTCTTGTGATATCTTTATCTGATTCTTTTATTATGGCTATATTGGCCTCATGTAATGAGTTTGGAAGTGTTTCCTCTTCCCTTTTCTGAAAGAGTTTTTGCAGATTTTGAATTATTTCTTCTTTAAATATTTAATAGAACTCACCAGCAAAGCTATATCTTGGCCTGTAGTTTTCTTTGTGGCCTATAGTTTCTTTATGAATTTAATTCCTTTAGTTGATACTGAGCTATTCAAGTTTTCTACTTAGGGCTTTTATTGTTTCACCTAAATTTGTCACATGTATTGAACTTGAAGTTGTTCATAATATTTCCTTATTGTCCCTTAAAAATCTGAACAACAGAGGGAAAATAGATTGAAACAAACCAAAAAAATAGACTAAAAATATGAGTAACACCTTAAAGACCTGTGAGACTGTAACAAAAAATCTGACATTTGTGTCATCGGAGTCTCAGAAAGAGAGGGAAAAGAGTGCAAGGCTAAAAAAGTAGTCTAAGAAATAATGGCTGCACACTTCCCAAATTTGGCGAAAAGCCTGAACTTCAGATTAAACAAAGTATGTGAACCCCAAACAGGATAAACCCAATGTAATCCGCCATAAGACACATCATAGTCAAACTTCTGAAAGCTAAGGACAAAGAAAAAGTTTTAAAAGCAGCAAGAGAGATACTTTACCTATATGGAAAAAAACTATTTGAATGATGGCAGATTTCTCATCAGGAACCATAGAGGCCACATGGAAGTAGCACATTTTTCAAGTGTTGAAAGAAAGACCAGTCAACCCATAATCCTATGTTCAGGATAAATATCTTTCAGCATATTCAAAATCAAAACTTTTAGATGAAGGAAAACTTAGAGAATTTGTTGCCAGCAGACTTGTTCTAAAAGAATGACTAAAAGAAGTTCTCTAAGCAAAGAGGAAGCAATAAAACAAGGAACTTTGGAACATCAGGAAGGAAGAAAAACAAGATAAACAAATATATAGGTAAATGCAATAGATATTCCTTCTCTTGAGTTTTTTAAATTATGTTTAGAAAGCAGGCAAAAATTATCATAATGTCTGAGGTGATTCTAACATATGTAGAGACAGTTGTATTAAAATATTTAAATATTTAAGACAGTTGTATTAAAAATTAGGAAAGGTAAAGGGATGGAAGAGAAGTATTTGCATACTTCTCAAATTGGTAAAATAAGGACCAGTAGACTATGAGGTTGAGTATATATAATATAAATTTAATACCTAGAGCAACCAGTAAAAGAGCTATACAAAGAGATACACTCAAAAATATTATAGATAAACCAAAATGGAATCCTAAGAAAATGTTCAAGTAACCCATATGAGGTAGGAAAAAGACGACGGATAAACAAAAAACAAAACAAAAAATAGAATGACAGACTTAAGCCCTAAAGTATGAATAATTACATTAAATGTGAATGGTCTAAATAATTGAAAGACAGATATAGGCAAAATAGATTAAAAATATGACCACAGTGTATGCTATCTACAAGAAGGCCAATTCAAATGTAACCATATAGGCAGATTGAAAATAAAAGGATGGAAAATTATATATCTTATGTATCTTATAATCAGGTGAAAGCACGGGTACCTATATTAAAATTAAAGTAGACTTCAAAGTAAAGAAAATTACCAGAAACAGAGAAGAACATTATATAATGTTAAAAAGATCAATCCACCAAGAATACTTAACAATCCTAAATGTGTGCACCAAGCAGCAGAACTGCAACACACAAGCAACAAAATATGGTAAAACTCTCTTAACAATTGATAGGATGACCATATAGAAATCAATAAGGATTTAGAAAACTCAACAGACCATCAATTGACAAGATCTAATTGATACTTGTAGAGCAATGCTCAACTACAGCAGAATACACCTTATTTTCAATGGCCTGGGGAGCATATACCAAGATAGACCATCTTCTGGATCATTAAAGAATCCAACAAATTTAAAAGAAGTGAAATTATAAAGTGTGTTTTCTAATCACCATACAATGAAACTAGAAATCCTTAACAGAAAGGTAGCAGGATAATCTCCAAACACATGAAACTAACATCCTTCTAAATAACCCATGGTCCAAAGAGAAAGTGTTGAGAAATTTTAAAATATTTTGAACCAAATGAAAATGAAAACACACCTTATCAAAATTTGTGGAACTCAACTAAATCAGTGCTGAGAGAGTACTTTATAGCACTAAATAGTACATTAGAAGAACAATACATAAAAAGGATTATACATAGTGACCACATAGGGTTTATTCTGGGGATGCAAGGCTGATTCCCCTATATTAACAGGCTGAAGAAGAAAAATCACATAATTGTATCAATCAGTGCACAAAAAGTGTTTGACAATATTCAACACCCATTCATGATTAAAAAAAAAAGGCTCAGAAAAATAGAAATAAAGAGGAACTTATTCAACACATTAAAGAACATCAACAAACAACCTACAGCCTTCCTAACAACCTTCCTATTAACATAGGAAGACGGCAAGAATTTTCTTTCTCACCACTTTTTCTCAATGTAGTGTTGGAAGTTCTAGTCTATGCAATATGGCAAGAAAATGAAATAGCATATACAGATTTTAAAGTAAGAAATTTGTCTCTATTGCACATGACATGATCGTCTACATAGAAAATTCCAAGAAGTCTACTAGAACACTCTTAGAACTAATAAATGAGTTCAGCAAGGTCACAGAATAGAAGGTAAACATAAAAAATCAATTGTATTTTTATACACTAGCAATGAACACATGGATGCTGAAATGAAAACTGCAATGCTGTTCACAGTTGCTCAGAAAAGAGAAATATTTCTATGTAAATCTAACAAAATAGTTTAGAATTTGTATCCTGTACAACCACTTGTCTCCTGGCAACCACTACTTCTGTCTCTGTAGATTTGCCTATTCTGGACATTTCATGTAAGTGGAATCATACAATATGTGGTCTTTTGTGACTGACTTCTTTCATTTAGCATAATATTTTCAAGGTTTATCCATGTTCCAGCATATATCAGTGGTTCATTCTTTCATGTTCGCTAGTAATATGCCATTGTGTTGGTGCCCTGCATTTTATTTATCCATTCCTCAGTTGATGGTCATTTGGATACTGCTGCTATGAACATTCATGTACAAGTTTTTGGATAGATAACATGTTTTCATTTCTCTTAGATAGATACTTAGGAATGGAATTTCTGGACTACATGCTTATACTGTGTTTTGAGGAACTTGGAAACTATTTTCCAAAGTGACTACACCATTTTACATTCTCACCAACAATGTTTGAGTGTCTAAAGTCTCCATATCCTTGCCAATACTTGTTATTGTATGCCTTTCCTATTTTAACCATCCTCTTGGGTGTGATGTGGTATCTTATTGTGGTTTGATTTGTATTTTTCTTATGTCTAATACTGTTGGGCAAATTTTCACATTCTTACTGGTCATTTGTCTATCCTTTTTGGAGAAATGTCTGTTCAAATCTTTGCCCTGTTTTCATTTGTATTATGTGTCTTTATTGTGAGTTTAGGTGTTCTTTATGTATTCTGGATATATGTTTGATGTTTTTAATGCTAGAGTAAATGTTATAGATATTAATTCATTTTTAAGTTATTCCTAGTATGTAGAAATACTGATTTTTGTATAGGCATTGTATCCAGTGACCTTTCTAAACTCATTAGTTTAAAAGCTTTTCCTCTGGAATTTCTTTAAACACAGTCATCTCTTTTTTAAATACAGTGTTACTCTTCCTTTTCAATCTTTATATTTTTTCTTTTCTTTTTTTATTTTAATTGAACTAGCCAGAACCTCCAATACAATGTTACAGAGAAGCAGTGGGACTAGACATCCTTGCCTTGTACTTGATCTTAAAAAGAAAGCATTCAGTATTTCGTCTTAAAAGTAATGGTTGGCTGCTATTTGTGTTTTAATTGTTCTTGTTCCTATTTCCTCTCTTTATTTCCTTCTTTTGGGTTTAGCCAAGTAATTTTTAGTATTCCTTTTTTTAATCTCCTCTACTAGTTTTTTTAGCCAGAACTTTTTTTTTCCCCCAGTGATTGCTGTTCATTACAATGTGTATCTTTAGCTTATCATAGTCTACTACTATTTATTTTTAAAGTGATCTTGGGATTGCTTCTTTACAATTACATTTTGTGCTGAAAATTGTGAGATTATACCTCCAGCAATGATGACTAAATAAATCATTGTTAAATTTCTTTGCATCCGTTCCTCCTCCACCCTGACTCAGGTTTTTTAAAACTAGGTTTCCCCTGTCAGGTGACCTCTGTAAATATCCCACACTTGTGTTGTTTTCTAATGTAACTTCCCACAAAACTACTTTATTTACCAAAATAAAATCAAAAGCACTATAAAATATGGAGACTTCCTGTAAGAATTTGAATAGAATAATGTGACATCTTAATTTTGGAAACGTCCCCACTCCTGTTCTGGCATATATAGGTATGAACTCTAACACTTGCCTCTTTAAGCAGCATACTCCTATCAGCTTTATTGAGTTGTCAATTAATTTTATACCTATGCATGTAATTTTTTTAAAACAATCTTTTCTTTATAGATTATTTTGGCTTTATTCAAACAGGATGAATTAAACCTGGCTGATTCTGAAGTGGATAACCAAAAACGAGGGAAGCGGCATTATGAAGAGAAACAAAAAGAACACTTGGATACTTTAAATAAAAAGAGACGAGAACTGGATATGAAGGAAAAAGAACTAGAGGTTATCCATCATTTTTTCTTTTATGTTTTGTTGCAATCTTAGTCATGATTATTGAAGTGTGTTTCCTTAATGTCATGTTTCCAACCATAGACAAGTGGTCTGGTGAGTATCTGTCTCTTATAGAGTAACAGCAGTTTTGGTGAATCAGCAGAGGAATAGGCTTGGGACTTGCAGTGTGGGGACTTAAACAGACCGACATGAAGAGGACTTTAGGCAGGATGGCAGTAGTCCCATATCGTGTCTCTGAGTGATTTGGAAAATGGCACTCCCTTTAATATAGCTCATTAAATGCCCAGCTTGGCATGTAGATAGCAGCTTTATGTCAGAAAAAGGCACCCCTTCCTCTGGGTAGCTTGGGTGTGGGCTGGGCTGGAATTCAGCTGCTCCTTAACTATGCTCCCTTGTTGACAACTGTGAGCAGCAGCCCTGCTTTTAGAAGAGAATAAGTTGAAGGCAACCTTGGTCTAACTAGAAGAGATGGATTACAGCTTTTCATAGGAAAATGATGTTAACTCTGTAATGCATTGCCTTACTTGCTTAAGACTTATTACATGGAATGAGATTTTTAATATTTTATAAACACAAGGGTTGTTTGTTGATGTTTTCAATACTATTTGGTGTTCAGAGTCCCTCCTAGAACACAGACGGAAAACTGACTGACCTCCGTGCCCTGGATGCCAAGCTTTTCATAACTGTTACTTAAAATTTGTTTCACTAGGAAGTTATGGAGATCTCACAGATTATTAAAGTTGTGCACAGTAATGCACTTTTCTCTGGAAGATTTATAATGCCCCTGGACTGTATTCTCAATATAAAGCTTAGAGAAATAATACTGATACTAAATGTAATTGAAATAGATTTCTTAAACATAAGTTCCGAATTTTGCTTTGCATATTTTTGCATGAGTAGTACAATGAATTGTTATATCAAAGAAGAGTTTTAAAGATATTAAACATCTTTCTTAGGAGAAAATGTCACAAGCAAGACAAATCTGCCCAGAGCGGATAGAAGTAAAAAAATCTGCATCAATTCTAGACAAAGAAATTAATAGGTTAAGACAAAAGATACAGGCAGAACATGCTAGTCACGGAGATCGAGAGGAAATAATGAGGTAAGTGGTCGGTAGCTTTTCTCCTTAATTATTTTGTCTATATATATTATCCAGACATAAAAAATAACTGTTTATATATAAATCTTAAATTTGGGTGAAGTGTTGCTATGGCGAATAGTTATAGCTAAATTAATGTTATTAATAATAAACTAACTTGTTTCTTCTGAATTATTACAAAACATTATGGAATGACATTTTAACGTAAATGCCATTTTTATACCTATAAGATTCATACAGACATGAAAATGTTCAGCTTCACAAGTCATCAAAGAAATGCAAACCAAAATGATTAGAAGCTATTTGCATATACATCAGGATGAAAAGAACACTTATACTTCATGTCAGTGAGATTTCAGTGAAATGGATATTTTTATATTATTGGTAAAAATGGAAGCTCTAGTATAGTTAGAGCACTGGTTCTGAGACAAGACTACCTTGATTTGTATTGCAATTCTGCTACCTACTTATGTGACTTTGGGAAATTATCTAATCTCTCTGAACCTTAGTTTTCTCATCTATAAAATGGGTATAATTATAGTACTTACCTTATAGGGTTGTTATGAAGATTAAATGAAATGTTCCATGATAAGCAGAATATGTAAGATACAGAGTATGTTAGATATTACTATTATTAAAGTCTCTCTGAAAAAAATTAAGGCAGTTTATGTCAAACACCTTCAAAAATTTCAGTTTGGCCAAATAATTTTGTTGTTATAACATAATCCAAAATGAGAAAAACAATTTGTGCTCAGATGTGTTTATTGCAGCATTTTTTTATAACACTGAAAAGTTAGAAATAGAACACAACTGTAGGATAATGATTAAATTATAGTAGAGAATTACACTTTATGTAGAACTTTTCATATTAAAAATGGCTGGGAACAGGAGTGATCTCAATTCTCTTTTCAAAAACATTGGAAAACAATGGGAAAAAAATAAAAATAGTGAGAGAAGTTTTTCTCTAAAACAGATAATACTGCATTGTTTTAAAAATACAATGTAAAGGGACATTCAGTAAGTTTTTACTTCCTCTCTAATCTCATCATCTCCATCACTTTTCCTTTATTAAATTAATTTATTAAATATGCTTTTGGTGTTTCTTTATGCAAATGCAAGGTAACATGAGTGTGTGTTCTTTTTCATTCTTGCAGATACAGAAGGTAACACACTATATAAACTGTTTTACAGATTGCTTTCTTTGATTTAGTGATATATTTTGGAGATCTTTCCACATCAGTACATAGATATTTTCTCATTGATTTTTTTTTTTTTTTTTGTGAGGAAGATCAGCCCTGAGCTAACATCCATGCTAATCCTCCTCTTTTTGCTGAGGAAGACCAGCTCTGAGCTAACATCTATTCCCAATCCTCCTCCTTTTTTTTCCCCCAAAGCCCCAGTAGATAGTTGTATGTCATAGCTACACATCCTTCTAGTTGCTGCATGTGGGACACGGCCTCAGCATGGCCGGAGAAGCAGTGCGTTGGTGTGCGCCCGGGATCCGAACCCAGTCCGCCAGTAGCAGAGTACGCGCACTTAACTGCTAAGCCACGGGGCTGGCCCTCTCATTGATTTTTATAATTTCTTAGTATTTAACCATCTCCTACTGACGGATAGTTGAGTTTTAATCTAACCTTTTGCTATTATAAATGGTGGTACACAATAAATTTTGTACATATGTCATTTATATATATTCATGGTTTTTTTAATAAGATAAACTCCATTTTGGCAGATTCTCTTCTTTAGGGATTGTACTTTTTTTGCACTCCCATCAGCAATGGATTAGAGTGCTTGTCTCCCCATAGCCTAAACAGTGTGGGATAATCTTAGATTCTTTTTCCTGATGGATAGATTTCCTAAAAGAAAGAATATACCTCAGTGTAATTTTAATTTGCATTTCACGTTTATTGTGTATGATTGAACATCTTTTCATGTCTTAAGGACCATTTATTTATATTTCTTTTTCTGTGATTTTTTTATGTACTTTTTCACCTTTCTGTGAATATTTTTGGTGTGAGGAATGTATTTTATCTTTTTTCCAAATAGCTATGTAGGAAAGTTGTTTGTTCTCTTATTGTTTCCTTAAGAATGGCTGTGTGAATAATATTTGTTCTGTTTTCGCATGTTGAAAACCATTTGTTTCTAGCTTTGAATTTGAAGGATAGCTTAGCGTGATATAAAATCCTTTTTACTCCTGAGTGTCTGTTTATGATGACACTCATCTATTGAGTTCTGTAACTTGTCAACAATGTCAGGTTCTGTGATCCTTTCCCTGGTATACACTGCTTTTTATCTGTAGATTTGTCTTATTTCTTAAAAGTTTTCTTATATTCTACTTTTAAATATTTTCTGTTCTGTTGTGTAGTTTCCTTTTTTGAGGTCTTCAGTTGTGCATATGTTGGACATCCTCTGTTTTCTCTAGTTATTTCGTCTAACCATTTTATCTGTTTTTTCCTCATTTTGTTTACTTTTCTCGTTTCTGATCTCCATGTTTATCAGTGTTTTCTGTGTGGTCTGTTTGCCCCTGTGCATCATCTTCTTGGTTTGTCTTCCTGTCTTTATTCTTTGTGTGTGTGTGTGTCTAACCCCCACCTCCCGCACTGTGGGTTCCGCAAGTTCTTGCTTCACCTCCTTCTCTTGTCTGGTTATCACCTTCTGTTGTTTGCCTCTCTGTTCTCCGAGTTCCTTGATTCATCTGTTCTTTCAGTTTTTTTATTTCTGCTTTGAGGTAGTCCTTCCTGGTAGCACTTGTCTTGTTTTGTCTTGTTTTAATTCGTGGTGTTCAATTACAGTTTTCATCTTCTTTATGACAACATTATTCTAGTAAGTTTTCTTTGTCTATAGAAGGAATTTTGCTGCTCTTTCCCACTTCTTTTTTTCCATAAATATCTTTTTATGGATGCTATGCTTGTGCCTTTCCTGTTTTCATTTTTTAATTAGTTGCATTTTCCTGGATGGTATTTGAAGGATGATGGGGCCGGTCACTGTGGGAGCCTTGGCCAGGGTTGCCTTTCATACCTTGTCAGGAACTTTCTCTCCCTTGCTACAGCAGTGAGCTGTCGCCTCCGTGATAGTACTTCTGAGTAGCTCTGCCTTCTCTGTCTCTTTGACCTTGGCTGGGCTTGTGGGGATCCCAGTGCTCACCCTGTGTTCCTCTGTTCCCACATTGGCGTCTTTCACTAAGGGAAACATTTCTTGCCTCCCGGTGTGATCCCTTCACTTTTCAAAGGTGTGTTATTCTCTAGGATCTGCCACCTCTGGGCCCCACCTGGGCGCTCTCCTCATGTGCTTTCTCTGCCTTCTCGAGGGCTTGGACTCTGTTCCTGCCCAGCTCTGCTCACAGCTCTTCCCAGTCAGGGCAGCGCACACTCATTCTGGTCACGCATTTTTGTCTGGAGACTTAGGAAATCTGCTACTGCTGGGCCCCCTCAGCACCCCCTGTGCTTCCTCATTAAATATATTTGAGATTTTACTTTTCTTTATATTTCTTTGAATAACATTTATTTACTTAATATTTTGTTCATAAAATAGGCAGTACCAAGAAGCAAGAGAAACTTATCTTGATCTGGATAGTAAAGTAAGGACTTTAAAGAGGTTTATTAAATTACTGGAAGAAATAATGACCCATAGATACAAAACGTACCAACAATTTAGAAGGTAAGTGCATTTAAAAATATTACTACATATTATACATTTTGTTTTTTCTTTGTTTTCACATTATCCCTTATAAATAATAAAATTAAACTGAAAGAACTTTACATGATTCAATTAAAGAAGAAACTGCCAGTGCTTAGGATCCTATAATTTAATCAGAGAATTCTGGATTTGAAGGGACCTTTATAGTGAGCTTATCCACCTTTTGTCCTCCATTAGATATCTCTTACTAGAAGCCTCATGGATGGCTCTTCAGTCTCTGCTTAAATAGGTTCTTTGACTAGGAGCCATTGGTTCTGAAACAGCCTGTTTCATTCTTGGGCATTATGTGTTCTTAAGGGATGTGAGTTTTTGATGGGATCTGTGGGGGCAGTATCTCAGTCGACTTACCATGATCTGATAGAATGGTGCCACTCCATGGATGCAGAATCTGTTTTATTTACTGCTGTATCTCCAGTACCTACTCCTGTGCCTGAAATATTGTAGAAACTTGATATATATGGGTTGAATGAATGAATACGGGGTCAGGGAAAGTGAGTAGTATTAACATACCCAGAAATATGCAGACTCATAGGGTTAGATTTGCCCCAATTAAAATCACAAGCAACAGAAATAAGTGAGAGGATAGTTGATGGGGACAGCCCTTGATATACTTGGATCTGAGGCAGCCCAAGTCTGTCTACTTAACCTCTATTTTCACCAGTGGCATTCCCTCAGTAACATGCTTTTTACCTGTCTTTATACTCCAAACTCGAGTTAAGACAGTAGAAATAAAAGAATATATCTAGTTCTAGTACATATGGGGAAATTCAGATAAAGCCATAAGGAAAAACAGGTTTTGCACATTTGACCATATTCCTTAACTAAACTAGAGGTTAGTTTTTGAAATGTGTGTTTCAGTTTTATAAGCATGTTTTTATTTTTTTTTTATATAATTTTTTTGGTGAGGAAGATTGGCCCTGAGCTAACTTCTGTTGCCAGTCTTGCTCTTTTTGCTGAGGAGGATTAGTCCTGAGCTAACATCTGTGCTCATCTTCCTCTATTTTGTGTGTGAGACGCCACCACAGCATGGCTTTGATGAATAGTGCGGATCCTGGGCGTGCGGATCCTGGGCTGCTGAAGTGGAGTGCACAAACTTAACCACTAAACCATTGGGCTGTCCCCATATAAGCATGTTTTTAGGACTTTAATTATATAGGATTTATTTTTATCCTTTTGAGGGTATTTTTTAAGTTCTGTTGAGTGGCACCAGAGCAGCCTTCAGTAGAGGGCCAGGTTTCTCCTACCTGTGAAGCATTGCTCCTGTGAGTGCTCCACTGGTACCCTGTAAGTTCTCAGGTTGTCTCTGCTTGCCAGTGGGCATGTGAACACTTCCTGGGTGACCTTTGGGGAAGCTTCTGCTTTCTTTCTGCTGTTTGTTTCCCTGACCTCAGGTAGTTTCTTCACACGTGCCCTGACGAGTAGAGGACTCAGCTTGAGACTCTCGAGGCACCCTCTGTAGGTTCTCTAGAGTTCTTTCTGTGCTGCGCTTTCTTCTCTAGACTCTGCTTTGTGAACCCTAGGCGCCTTGGCCTCCCCAGACTCCTAGCTCTGTCTCCTCAAGCAGGGTGACCTCTGGGCTCTGCTTGGGTTTCCATGCCCCTTTATTCCATAACCAGTAATTTGGGGCATCCATAGGGCTCAATTTGTTTGCCATCTTTCAGAGATCCTTTTGACTGGAACTGCCTGTACTGTCAGATGTCCGTCATGGTTCATATATTTTGTCCAGTTTTTTAGTTGTTTCAGGCAGAAGAATAAATCCAATGCCTATTACTACATCTTTTCCAGAAACAGTAGAATTTGTTTTTATATTGTTATCTAGAAAATTTGTTTTTAAAATATTTTCTGTAAAAGTGTTGGTCTTGTAGTTTATTACCTTGCTGTGTTTCTTCACCACTGACATGTTTTATATTGTTTACCCAATCTTAGGAGTAGAATAAGAATGATCACATTTTTAAAATTATTTGTCTCTTTACACTGGAGAACCTTGTCATTTTATGAGGACAGTCTCACTTAGGTATTCCATGAATGGAAGCAATTGAAGAATACATATCACTATTGAAAGAAAGGAAAGTTAAGAGAAAATTCTGAAAACGAGCTAGCAGTGGTTGCTGTGGTGCAAAAGAAAACTCAGGCTGTTGATATTTTCTAGTGTGGAGATTTAAGGCAGTTCAGGAAGGGAATTAGGAGAGAAAAGAAAAAATGATAATTACTCTTAAGAAATGAACCTTAGGCTCATTAAGGAGCAAAGATGTTAAGAAAAATAGACAGTCATCTATCACCCAGATCTTATTTTCTAAATACCATTCCCCACCAAAAGAAATCAATGTCCTTGGAGGAATGGCTGATCCCAAAGCTGGACAGGGAAGGTAACAGTTGAGCCTCTTACTATGCCAGAAAGTAAGGAAGTGCTCAAAAAAAAATTTAGAGTCATGATAAAAGGACATAGGAGGCAGCTTGAAGGGGCTCCCATTGGTGAAATTTGGGACAATTTGAGGACCACAATAAATAAGGATATTAATAGATAGTAACCAATGAATAAAATAAGAATCTGTGACTCCATCCTGATAAATAAGAAAGTGGATAAGTAAATAAATAACTGAGGAAGAAGGAAAGGTCTTCCTTACAGTTGAGTGCCATCTGATAAGTAGAGATGGCATGGTGGAGTTTGCATCGTGCCAGGCAGTGTGTGAGGGATTATAGGTATAAAATGATTAAGAGATTGCCCTTACACTTTTTGCTGCTATAAAGTTGAGAGGAGACAGACAAATGATAGGTCATTTATCCATTATCTTAACGCTACTAGAGTTTAATCCTCTCAAAGATAAGATTTACGTCTTCTGTATTAGAGTGATGCCTTATATAAATTACTGGAATGATTCATATGAACTGGCTGTAACACAATGGGGTATGTTAAATGTGGGATGACATCTTTATTAATTTCATAGATACTTTTTTATTATAAAAGGAAATCAAGTGGTAAAAATGTGGAGACATGGATGAAATGTAAAAACACGGGGAAAAGTCCTAAAATCCCACCTATTAAATGGGCAAACAATATTAACATTTTTGCATATTTCTTTCTGGTCTTATGTGCTGGTTTAAAGATCATGCTCAATATACAGTTCTGTGTCTTTCTATTCTTTTAACGTGCCCAATTTCTTTATTTCAAGATGTTTGACTTTACGATGCAAATTGTACTTTGACAACTTACTATCTCAGCGGGCCTATTGTGGAAAAATGAATTTTGACCACAAGAATGAAACTCTTAGTATATCAGTAAGTATCTTAACTCTTTGCATATTAATCATAAGGAGAATTAGCTGCTGCATTTCTTTTAATGATACATTGATAAGTTTTTAACCTGTTGCCTTTGAAAAAAAAAAGAACTTATTTTTAATTTAAGGATAGTCTTTGCCAAAGTGTTGAAAATTAAATTGATCTTACTGGCTATAGCAGCTATTGTAGCTCCCTCCTGCCCCCACCCGCCAGACAACCACAGTATTTTCTTATGATAATAATTAGGAATTTTATTTTCAGTAACAAATGTTCACCTTCTCTTTCCCTTCCACGGGTTTCTTTTTTAAATTCAAAAAGCATTTTATATTAAGTCCATATATTTGGTCACATTATAGGGAGCCAAGAAAGGATTTCTCAAAGAATGTTCTACTCTGTGTACTTGTCTTTGTACTTAGTAATTTCTGAAGGTGTCCCTAGATCTCGCCTCTTTTGGGTAAACAAAGCCACCATATTCAATTTTCTGGAGTCTGTGTTTGTGGATTCTTCCACAGTCACATGCATTAAAAGAGGGAGTGTGGGATATAGCATTAAAATTGTGTAGTCAGGAAGTCAAGAGCAGCTACCCACTCTTAATAACTGGGGCAGAACTTTCAAGTAATTGCTTACTACTCTGAGTTACTTTAAATTTTGTACTTCCATTTTAATACTTAGAATACGTAGTAATTTACAATACATATATACAACAAAGGACTCATATCTAAAATTTCTTAAGAATGTTAATGATTAAGAAAAAGAATGACGGTGCATTTAAAAATGATCAGAAGGCTTAAACAGGAGCTTCATAAATTAAAGTATCTGAATGGTGAATAAGTACATGAAAAAGTGCTCAATATCATTAGTCATCAGAGAAATATAAATTTATACCATAATAAGTTACTATCACACTGCTATTAGCATGACTAAAATGAGCAAGACTGATAATATCTTGTGTTGGTGAGGTGTGGACTTAGAACTCTCATACCTTGTTAGTGGGAGTATAATTTGATAGAACTAATTTGGAAAGCTGTCTAGCAGTGTCTTTTAAAGCAATTCCACTCTTCAAAACTCTTCAAAAACCAATAAAATTCATTTATGGTGATTAAAGTCAGAATAGTGGTTACTTTGGGGGGTTGGTAGTGACTGGGAGAGAACACAGGGAATCTGCTGAAATCCTAGGAATGTTCCATGTCTTGATCTGAGAATGGCTACCCAGGTGTGTGTATATGTGTGTGTGCTTATAAAAATTGAGTTGAACACTTAAGCTTTGTGTTCTTTACTATATATAAATTATACTCTAATAAAAATTTTAAAAAAAAAGAAGATATTAGGAGTGTTGGGATAATTTATCCCCAGAGCTAACTGTACAGGACAAGCCAAGAAAACTTTTTGACGATATCATCTCTGTTATTCAAAAGAATATTATGGCTTTAAGAACCTTTAAGCTACGTAGTCTTCATGTTACAAATAAGGAAACTGAGAGTAAAGTCTCGTGATAAGTTAGTAATAGATGAAGGGTAAAATTTAGAATTCTACAATTTAGGGCTTCGTTATTAGGTTGATACAAAATGCAATGTTGTAGCGAAAGATGGCATCCTGTTACTCAGTTCTTCCTTTTATGCAGGATTTTTGTTTGTTTGGTGGTTGGTTTGGTTTGGCTTTTTACTTAGGTTAATGTTGCTTTTTTATTTGGATTTTCATAGAGGATTCAGACTTACAGATGATAAATATAAAATTTCAGTGTATGTTTAAATTCAGAAATTTTTATAACCCTTAGAAGATTAAAAAATAAATGAACTCACTTGAGAGCTTCATAATTTTTCCAATAGTGTATTAGAAAATGTGAAGCCATGTGTCTGCTAAAACACATGATAAAACTTTATGATATAAAACTGGTTTGTGCTCTGTTTTTTCACCTTATGGGCATATATGTATATCTGGAATTCTGTCAAAATCAAATAGAATTCCTTTTAATGTTACTTTGTACTATCTTCTCAGGAAATTGTTCAAGAGTTTGTTATTAATGTCGTTAATTGCTTTTTTGTAGTTCCCATGAACCCTTATTCAGTAAAGAGGAATTTTTTAAAGAGATTTTATGTATTTGAGTTCATTGCTGCTTCAATTCTTTGGCCAGTGTGAGACTCTTTATATTGATCCTGTTGTCCTTTTGACATTCAGTAATTAGTTTTAAAGCAGCTTAACCACTAGATGTCACTGTGATTCAAGTAACAAAAGATTATCTTGGCACTTAGAAATGTTTGAAAAAAGAAATAAAGAAAATAATCCCATTCACAATGGCATCAAAAACAATAAAATGCCTAGGAATAAATTTAACCAAGGAGGTGAAAGATCTGCACACTGAAAACTATAAGACATTGATGAAAGAAATTGAAGAAGACACAAATAAATGGAAAAATATCCTGTGTTCATGTATCAGAAGAATTATATTGTTAAAACGTCCATACTTCCCAAAGCTATATATAGGTTCAGTGCAATTCCTATCTAGGTTCCAATGGTTCACAGAAATAGAAAAAAACGTTCTAAAATGCATGTGGAACCACAAAAGACCCCCAAATAGCCAAAACAATCTTGAGAAAAAAGAACAAGGCTGACAGCATCACACTTCCTGATTTCAAACTATGTTACAAAGCTGTAGTAATCAAAACAGTATACTACTGGCATAAAAATAAACACATAAGGGCTGGCCCCGTGGCCCAGTGAGTAAGTTCAGCGCGCTCCACTTCGGCAGCCCGGCTGGAGTTCCACTCGTCAGCGGCCATGCTGTGGTGGTGCCCCCATACAAAATAGAGGAAGACTGGCACAGATGTTAGCTCAGGGTGAATCTTCCTCAAGCAAAAAGAGGAAGATGGGCAACAAATGTTAGCTCAAGGTGAATCTTCCTCAGCAAAAAATAAAAAAACACATAGGCCAATAGAACAGAATCAAGAACCTAGAAACCCACATATATACAATAAACTATTTTTTGACAAAGGAGCCAAGAATATACAACGGGGAAAGAATAGGATAGTCTCTTCAATAAATGGCGTTGGGAAAACTGAATATCCACATGCAAAAGAATAAAACTGGACCCTTATCTTATACCACTCACAAAAATCAACTTGATATAGATTAAGTAGAATACTTGAAGTCATGAAACTTCTAGAAGAAAACATAGGGAAGAAGCTCCTTGATATTGGTGATGGCAATGATTTTTTGGATTTGACACCTAAAGCACAAGCAACTAATGCAAAAATAAATGGAACTATATCAAACTAAAAAGCTTCTGCACAGCAAAAGAAATGATCAACAAAATGAAAAGACAACCTACAGAATAGGAGGAAATATTTGCAAATCCGTGTATCTGATAAGGGGTTAATATCCAAAGTATATAAGGAACACATACAACTGAATAGCAGAAAAACAAACAATCCAGTTTAAAAATTGGCAAAGGACCTGAATAGACATTTTTCCAAAGAAGACATACAAATGGCCAACAGATATATGAAAAAGTGCTCAACATCGCTAATCATCAGGGAAATGCAAATCAAGACCACAATGAGACAACACCTCACGCCTCTTAGAATGGCTGTTATCAAAAAGAGAAGAGACAACAAAAGCTGGTGAGGATGTGGAGACAAGAGAACCCTTGTACACTTCTGGTGGGAATGTAAACTAGAAAACAGTATGGAAGTTCCTTAAGAAATTAAAAATAGGACTACCATATGATCCAGCAATTCCATTTCTGGCTATATAGCTGAAGGAAATGAAATCACTCTTGAGGAGATAATCTGTACCCCTATGTTCATTATTTACAATACAAACACGTGGAAACAGCATCAGTGTCTGTTGACGGATGAATAGATAAAGAAAATGTTGTGTATATATATACAATGGAATATTATTCAGCCATAAAAAGGAAGGAAATCCTGCCATTTGCAAAAACATAGGTGGACCTTGAGGGCATTATGCTAAGTGAAATAAGTCAGACAGAGAAAGACAGATGCCATATGATCTCAGTTACATGTGGAATCTAAAAAAGCCAAATTCATGGAAACAGTAGAATGGTAGTTGCCAGGTGTGGAGGGTGGTGGGAGAAGTGAGTGAAAGTGGTCAAAGGGTACAAGCTATAGAAGATGAATAAGTTCTTCCCTGTGTTTTCTTCTAGGAGTTTTATGGTTTCAAGTCTTCTGTTTAAGTCTTTAATCCATTTCAAGTTGATTTTTGTGAGTGGTACAAGATAGGAGTCCAGTTTCTTTTTTTTTGCATATGGATATCCAGTTTTCCCAGCAACATTTATTGAAGAGACTGTCCTTTCCTCATTGTATATTCTTAGCTCTTTTGTCAAATATTATTGGACCATGTATGTGTGGGTTTATTTCTGAGCTCTCAATTTTGCCCCATTAGTCTATGTGTCTGTTTTTATGCCAGTACAGCATGGTGACTATAGTTAACAATACTGTGTTGTATACTTAAAAGTTGCTCGGTGGGTAGATCTCAAAAATTCTCACTACAAAAAAAAACAAAGTATGTGAGTTGATGGATGTGTTAACTAACCTTATTGTGGTAATCATTTCACAATATATACCTATATCAAATCATTACATTGTACACCTTAAATTTACACAGTGTTATATGTCAGTTTTATCTCAGTAAAGCTAGAGGGGAAATAAAGGAAACTAGCAGCTTCAAGAAGACTAGTTTAAATTATTTATTTTGATCACTAACATTAGCCTAACATTGGCATTTTTATGATTAATTGGAATTCTGTTATGTTAGATCCAGTTATGATGAGAAAATGCTTTCAATTTGATTTTCTTGCAATAAAACAAAAACCACCATTATATAGCTCACTGTTGTGCTGTAATTTTAAATGGAATAGATGTCATTTCCACGTCGCTAAATGATTTTATTCTTATCTTTTTCTTTCTCTCTTTTTTTTTTTTTTTTTTGCTATGAACCCATTCTTTTTAATGCTAGCCAACCTTTTTGGTAAACAGTTTAATCTGACTTTTTCTATACTTTGTTTTTTGTTAACTCGTTCAAGGTTCAGCCTGGAGAGGGAAACAAAGCTGCCTTTAATGACATGAGAGCCTTATCTGGAGGTGAACGCTCTTTTTCCACAGTTTGCTTCATTCTTTCTCTGTGGTCCATTGCTGAATCTCCTTTCAGATGCCTGGATGAGTTTGATGTCTACATGGTAGTGTTAAATTTTAAATTCTCTAATTTTTTGTTGTTGTTGTTAGAAATGTGTCTTTTTAAAAGAAGCAATTCTTTCTCTAGTTTTACCCATGATAGAGAACATCCTGCCCTGACACTTTAGTGCGTGATAAGTGGTAGAGAAGAGCTAAAGAATTCTAATGTTTCCTTCTATACTAAACCTATAGAGACCCTGTCCTGATTTCATCACTGTCTCTCCCATCATGGATGCTGCTGCTCTCCACCAGATAGACTCCTTCAGCCTCTTCCCTAGTTTATTTCCATCTTCCGTTTTAACACAAAATTATAACTAGTTCACCACCCTTGCTTTGACTAACTCCAGCCACTGTTTGTTCTCTCCCTTCCTTCACAGCCACACTTTTCCAAAGAGCAGTATATATAACAAGGGAGTAAGAACATTTGACTTCAAAGTTAAAAAACCTAGGATTGAGATCTGCCTCTGCTGTCAGTTACCCAGATGTTTTTTGGCAAAGTATTTATCCTTTTTGGGCCTCAGTTTCTTCATGTATGAAATAAGCTTATTAGTCTTTCCTACCTCATAGGCTTATAGTGAAGCTCCAGTGAGGTCTTGCATGTAATGCACTTTCGATGGTGCAGGCACATTGTTAAGTCTTCCCAAACTAGTTATCAATCATTCTCTTTAGTTCTTCATGCCTCATTCTTTCCTAAATCCACTGTAGTCGGTTTAAACCCTAATACTCCAGCAAGGCTTGTGTAGCAAAGATCATAAATGAACTTTTAGTCTTACTTTAACTCTGAGATATTTGGCCCCACAGACCTATTCTCCGTCTCTTCAATCATGTCTTCTTGCCAGTTCCCAGCTCCTCTTTTCCTGTTCTGCTCTGTTCTATTCTTGGTTCTCAGTCTGCCCAGCTGCCTCCCCTAATTCTGTTGCCCTTAAATGTTTGAGGTCGTCTGTGTTTGTATGTTTGTTTTACTGTTGTTCGTTTTCGTGGATACCACACCCTGCCTACCCCTGCCACATACACACACAGTTCCCAAAACTACTACCTACGTTTGGATACCAACAAATCTATGTATCTCATCCCAACATCTCTCTTGCCCTCTAGACCTGTATGCCCAGCTACCTGTTATACATTTTCTAGTAAATGACCGCGTCTCAGACTCAGCATGTCTGAGACTGAATTTATCTTCCGCTCAAAGCGTCTTCCTTTTCCTGAATTCCCTCCTTGATTAGTGGCAAATTGCCATTACCAACCCAGTCACCTAACTGCAAAGGCTTTGATTTATCTGTGATTCTTCCTTCCTTTTTACTCACACATTAAGTCTGGCCTCGGTGTGTTCCTCTTTTAAAATATCTCTCCAGTCTCTGCTGTCTTCTTCCTGTTTCCACTCATCTCCAGCTCCTCACCTCTTGCCTATGGTAATCGCCTCCTGTCCAGACTCTCAGACTTTAATCTCCCTCCTTCACTTCAAGTCCCTCCTTTACCGTTTTGCCAGGTTTACATTTCTAAAATAAATCTGATTGTGGTCACTCACTTGTTTAAAATTCTTCGGTGGTTAATTATTCAACCTGGAATAAATGTTTAATTCTGTAGGGTAACTGAAGCCCTTTATAATATAGTATCTGCCTCTTTTTTCAGCTGTACTAAGCTATTTGTGATTTTCCAAACACTCTGCCTCTGCCTGTTGTGCCCTCCTTCATTGTATGTCACACTCCTGCTCATCTTTCCAAACTTGGTTCAGATGTCACCTTTATGTAGCCTTCATGCCACCACCCTGCCAGACAGGATCAGGAACTTCTCAGAGCCCCCTCAGCACCACCTTACAACTCATACTATTATGTTATTTTTACATTTTATAATATAAAATATATATTTTATATACATTTCACTTTTATATATATATATAGCTTTTATTCCATTGAAGTCTCCTATTTTCATGTCTGAATCTCCCACCAAATTGTAACTTTTTGAAGTTATCAACTATATCTTAATCCTATTTCTACCAGCTAATACCTAGTCCATAATAAGCATTTAGAAAATGGTTATTCATGAATCAGAATTCATACTTGTGAGTGCTGTATAATCCTTCAGGTATCCTATGATACCACTGCCGAAGATTAGTTAGCAATTCCTCTGAGAATTGGCTTAAAGCTAATTCACAAACCATAGAAAATGATTATTCTTTCCATGCAATATTTTTATCCAAAATGCCATTATGCAGTCTTGTCACCCATCTTATTTGTCATACTTAATTCTGAACAACTTTCTCTTTCAGAAACTTAGAGGTTTTTAATCAGAGTGACATTTTGCCCCATTGAAATTATTCAGAAAAATGTACCCAAGTTCCGAGAACCAATCCAAAGGAAAGAAATATTTTTTGGTGCATTGGCGGCTTTGTTATTAAATGATAGGCCTCCCCAGGGCAGTATTTTGAAAGGACGCTATTCCATTTGTGCAAGCTCTGGTTATTTTTGTTAACTTTAAGTTAGATTTTTACAAATATACCTGATGGAAGATTATACATAATACAGGCCATTGAGCGATATAGCCAGGATGTGGGTGCCCTATCTGCCTGCAGTCCTGTGTTCTGAAGCACCATGCTGTACCACCACATGGAGTTTCAAATAGACCTTTAAAAATACATGCATTCTGGGGCCGGCCCGGTGGCGCAAGCGGTTAAGTGCGCATGCTCCGCTGCGGCGGGCCGGGGTTCGCCGGTTTGTATCCTGGGCCTGCACCAACGCACTGCTTGGCAAGCCATGCTGTGGCAGCGTCCCATATAAAGTGGAGGAAGATGGACACGGATGTTAGCCCAGGGCCAGTCTTCCTCAGCAAAACAAAAAAAAGAGGAGGATTGGCAGATGTTAGCACAGGGCTGATCTCCTCACACATACACAAAAAATACATGCATTCGTCTGTGTTTTCAACTTGCAGAGATTTTCAGGGAGTGGGGGGGGACTTTGATTTTTCTTCTTTTTCTCTTAATTAACTCAGAAAATATAAGCACACAGTTTAATTCATTTAGTTTCAAAACCTGTTATAACTAAGCATTATTTTTGTATATGCTGATATGCTATTTCACCTCTTTTAAAGATTGGATCAAGAAATTGGTCTATACATTCAAATTGGCTCACATTGTACAAATTGTAGAAGGCGATGTGGGCAGAGTTTTTAAAACACCTAAATCACTGAGGGAAAATTTGAGAGACTTAAGTTTGCAACTAGTCACTTTTGATACTGTTCTGAGTGATTATTACTGTACAAATTAGATTCATTCTGTAACATTTAGTTGTGTCTTTTCAGTATTTTCTGATTATTTTAATTGCTGAGTATATTTGAGGGAGGGAGCTATACTTACAAATGCTTTGACTGTAGAAATTACCCAGAAGATATGTGTATTCTATGATTTTCCCCTAACAGTTTTGAGTATTATCTTTCCCTGTGTGAATTGCTTGGCATCATAGATAAGGTAAAGGGTGACCCCTGGATAAACATCCAAGGTTTTGTAATATCCAGCAGAATGCTACTGCTGCAGGAACACGGTTGATACAACAGCGATCGTGACTTCTGCCTTTGTTCTTCAGGACATGGTTAACCGGAGAATTGCAATGGACATGATACTCAAGATGGCGGATTCCCAGCGTTTCAGACAATTTATCTTGCTTACCCCTCAAAGCATGAGGTAACTTTTTAAAGTTCTTCTGTGAATATATGTATCAAGTGTATAAAACAGGGACAGAAATCTTTTATAATCTTAATTTTTTAAATGTAAATGAATAAATGACCAATAAAAAGAAAATTTAGCTCCTCAGAGATTTAAGATAATTTTTCCTTTTTAAATATTTAAAATTTTGTTTATCTCCATTCCATAACAGAAGCAAGTTGATTTGAATATGATTATTGACTTGTTACTATTTCTATTTTGAATCTGCTCCTATGTGGTTATCATGACCAACTAATATAAAGTAATTTTAGTAATTCTATTTAGACTAAAGAAAAAATTCATGATTTCCCTAGTCTTGGCTCTTTTCCTGGTGACTTACAAGTACCAGTCTTTCTAAATAAATGCTGCTGTCAATCAGCATTTATTGGGTACCTATAAGGTGTCAGGCACTGTGTCACTTAGAGTTGATATTCCGTCTCTAAAGTGGTCACTTGATCATATGAGGATTTAAATTTACGATTGGGAATATTCAGGTAACTCCTTCCTAGCTAGACAAGAAGAACAAGAGTTAGAAATTGTTGATATATAAATTTTCTTTTTCTTCCAAACTGAAAATGGCATTTAGCAGGAAGTTAATTTTAAAAAATGAAAACAAATTATTTCCATATTGCAAATTATATTTCTCCTATAACTCCAGGTATTAGTCTTATCCCCCTATTCACAGATAACAGCCATTTAGTTTTATATATTCATGAGGTAGTATTAGAATTTTTTTTAATGTCAAAAAATTTTCTTGGAGGGCCGGCCCTGTGGCTTGGTGGTTAAGTGCGCGCGCTGCAATGCTGGTGGCCCGGGTTCGGATCCCGGGTGCCCATCGAGGCACCACTTCTCCGTCCATCCTGAGGCCGAGTCCCACGTACAGCAACTAGAAGGATGTACAGCTATGACATACAACTATCTACTGGGGCTTTGGGGGGAAAAAATAAAATAAATAAAATCTTAAAAAAAAAAAAAAAAAAAAAATTCTTGGAAATTTGAGTAATTAATTTTGCTTCCTCTAGCTCACTTCCATCAAGTAAACTGATTAGAATTCTTCGAATGTCTGATCCTGAAAGAGGACAGAGTACATTGCCTTTCCGACCTGTGTCTCAGCAGGAAGAAGAAGACTGAAGTTGATTTGTAACTTAACATGCCGAGTGTCCTCATGTTGAAAGATTTGTAAAGGAAAAAAATTCAGGACTATTTGATGAAATAAAAAGAAACTCAAGATATTCTAAAATAAAAGAAACTCCTTTATATATCTGACCATAATAAGATATGTAAATAAGCCTAGAAAACCAACTACAACCAGCAATTTAAAATTACTATTACTTTACTTTGAGAAAATCAATTTCATAGTACTGGTTTTAAATCTTTTTAAGTTTTTTTTTTTTTTTTTTTAAACCATCTACTTTTATAGATTCTTTTTCAGAAGTAAAATTTTGTACATATGTACATGTACATACCTGTTTAGTTTGGATTCATTTCTACAGTATTTTGTAAGAATTAAAATAAAATTTTGAGCACCTGATTATATTTAGTTTTGCTTTTCCAGAATATTACATTCTCATTGCAGAGGATGAGGCGTACAGGTGGTCTGTGGACAGGGACCAGTTTGCAATGGATTTATTGTCTGTTTTTTGCTTATTAATTAAGAGGGACCTACACAGGACTATAAAAACTTTGATCAAATTCCCTGCACAGGTCATTTTTAACCCTAGAGATATAACTATAGATTTGGGCTGTATTTTTAATTGATGTATTTCATCAAAGTTAAGATGCTGTCTATTTATAAGACACCCTTATGGAGCACTAAAGCACTGCCAACTCTGGCACAATGCCTTTCTCTCAGTCCTTTAACCATCGTCCACCGAACTAAGCGTCTCACCCGTGTCGGAACTGGATTACGACACAGTTCGACACCCTGATCTGCAGCGTGCTTGCCTGGTTTAAAATCCCTCAGTTTTCGTTCCAGGGGCTCTCAAACTCTGAATCAGCTGAGAGAGGACACAGGGCAGAGGGACTGTGCAGATCAACCGGAGAAGAAGGGCAGAGGGCGGCTCCCCCTGGAGCAGGCAAGTAGCTCGGAGCCAAGGCCAGGCTCTTGATCGTGAGCTGACATCAGTTATAAGACACACCCTAATTTTAGAGTTGTTAAAAAGTGTGCTTCTTAGAATGATAAAATATAGTCTATCATAAGAAGTGGTACTTATGAACTTTTTTATTGTAAGAAAACATGAATTGGACTCCTGCCTGTATTCCCTATGTTTGATACTAGGATTAGGGCTAAACTTTTTAAAAAGACATGCGTATCTAACATGAAGTATTCCCTATATTGCTAGCAATAAATTTGTATGAAATTGAACAGGAAGTATTTTAAGAAAATGGCAGTATTTAAAAGCAGCAGCGCTTCTATCGGTACTGAGAAAAACTGGGTTTTGTTTTTGCTGGGGGAAGGGAGTCTAATTTAGTTTTAAGTTGAGATTAATTGGCAGATGAGAAATCCAAAAACTTGTGCTTTTCTACACTAAGAATTTACAGAAAGAGGAAATGTGTGCTGAATTTAATAAATATTCCCCACTAAACCATACGAAGTCTGATTTTTTTTGTTACATTTATAACTCATTTGTATCAAAACTATTTTAACATATATGTGCCTTTTCAAATAAAAAATGAGTGGAATATACCAAATGTATAAACTTATACTAGCTAAATAATTTCAGTTTCTGAATTTTGTGATAGTTTTTGAATGTTGTGGTTTTTAATACAGAATGGGAAATATAATCCTCAGGTATCCAGGCGTCTCTTATTGAGTTGAAGATTATTCATTGCTTTGGCCTCACAAAGTTTGGGTTTTAACGATCATAAGGGAAAATATCTTCAATTAATATTCTAATTAATAGTAATATTAATTAGAATGAAAAGATGTTGTTCTTTTAAAATATGTGTAACTTCTAAAAATAAAACTTTATATGCATTAAGGTCATGCTTTTGTGAATTGGGGAAGGTGATATGAACTGACTAAATCGAGCCTCTTCCTGAATAGTGACTTCAGTACATCACACAGATAAGTCTTCAACCCCTAGTTTATCATCAGTACAGCTGTGACTGGGCTGAGTTATGAAGTCCCAGGAAACAAGGAAGAGATGCTTCCCTGGACTCTTAAATCTGCCTTCTCAATCTTTGAGGTGAACATGACTAAAATTGTTCTCAAAATGACAAATGTGACAAGTTTTAGTAAACCAAGGTATAAATAATATAGTTACTCAAACTGATAATCAACACTAAAGATTCAGGCAATGCCACCTTCTTAAATGTTTTCCAAGTTTTCCCTTCTTTCTTCTTCCCATCCCCTAGTGCTTTTCTGCATGTCTTCAGAATGTCTGGGCTATTGATAAATGGAGACCAAAATGCTTCAATTCTTGTGAGAAACTATTTGGTGGGACTCCTGAACTGGATCAGGATTGTTGCCCACTGTGATGAAAACCACATGATCCAGAGTGTCTGATTAAAGAGTTTTCCTGAGTACAAACTAGATGTGGTACAAATTAGTACAAATTATTTTGTCCTGAGTCAATAATTTTCTGGTTGGATTTTTGACTTTTTGTACATCTACATAGATGCCTATACTTTGACCAACTTAGATTTTCAGGACAATTTGTTTGAAACTTACAATTCTAAAAGTTTAAATATTTTGTGACTTGAATTAAATGCTAGTGGACTTGAAGATATATCAAAATATTATCTAATAGGAACAGGTTTTGTTCATTAAGGAGTGGTAGAGTAATAATGTGGATGTAAATGAGCTGTTTCTTTGAGTCACTGCATGAAATTTTCTTTCTTAATTATAATGTTGATACCTAGCCTGTTGAATTTTGGCTAAGGCATCTGGATGGAACCCATAGAAACTAAAGTGGCCTGGCAATACTCACTAATCATAGCAAGCTTAAGAGGGTTTTTGCTGCCTAATTTTTCTCCAGTTTAAGAATGTAGAGATGAATTAGTTCAAAAAGGATTAAGTTCTGCCGTGTGCTAGGGACTATTTTAAGCACTGGAAATACTGCTATAAGTAATACTAAATCTGCCCTCATGGAACTTAAACTCTAGTTAGGGAAACATAATACCATATATGATTTCAGATAAAGGTAATCACTATAAATAATAATAAAGCAGAGAGAGGGGTTGAGAGTGGAGGGGAGTGGTATTTCGGACGGAGTGTTAAGGGAATACTTTGCAGGAGGTAATACTTAAGCAGAGGCCTAAAACAAGTGAGAGAATGAGCTGTGGGAAGATAACAGGGTGACAGTTCCAGGCAGACAAAATGCATGGAGAGGCCTTAAGGTGAGAATGAGCTTCATGTCCAGAAATCATAAGGCTGGTGTTGATAGAGCTTAGTGAGCTAAGGGGATGACTAGGGCGTGAGGTTCGGAGGTAGACAGAAGCGAGATCATTTGAGGTCCTAAGCAGGTTTTCAGACCTCGTCTGGTAAGAATTTTCAAAGAATCCCTCTGGCTGCTGTGTGAGTGGATTAGGATTAGAGAAGAGCAAACATGGAAAGAGCAAGAAATCTGGGGGCTTTTATAGTGGTCCAGGTAAGAGGTCATGGTGACTTGGACTAAAGTGGTGGAGAGAGAAGCATTCAGATTTGAAATCTAGAGGCAGTGGGCCTTGATGATGAGAACACTGCAGTTGTGAGAGAAGAATCAAGGATAATTGTCCTGGGGCTTAAAAAACTGGGTGAATGATGGTGCCATTCACAGAGACAGGGAAGATGCAGAGGTGGAGGAGAGTGATGGATGGCTGGTTGGGAGAAGTAGAAAAGCTGATTTGAGCATGCAACATTTGAGTTGACCATCAATCGGGTGTTTGATAGATAACTTTACATTGGTAAATTTAAGAACTTGGAAAACAATAACACATAAGTCTAGAGATCCATGTTTCACCTGCAAAATGCTGGGAAAAACCCAAATTGCATGCCCAAAATACTTGGGAAACCTAATTGCTTACAAGAAAGGACCTAAGAGAACAGAGTGTCATTTTATTTAGAAGCGCTAATTGACTCTCAGTTTCTCTACCTCTACCCCTACACATCCTTTGCTGTAAGGCTCTTGGAAGATGTCTGTTGAAGCGTGTTTTACTTCTTGACATGGTTTCCAACTGTGTGGAGGAAATAAGCATCTGGCCTCTTAAGAAAGCAGTTTATATTATTCATCTGGAGACTGTGATCCTGAATGAGAGAATTACAGGAAAAATGAAGCCTTAGAGCAATATGATTCTCTTTTAAAAATAGTTTAGTTATTCAGGAAATAAGAAAGAGGAAATATGGAAACTTAGGACTTCTAAATGCAGAAGGAGTTCAGGCTAGGAAAAAAGATATTTGGGGGCCTTTTTACTTTCAGAATGACAACAGGAGTTAAACATAATTAACATGGTAATTAAAATAGCAGCTGAGTATAAGCTAGAACCAGTAGAACCCAGGCCCAGTCGAATGATTAGAGGAAGCCTATAGTTGGTCCTTTCCAAAGGAACCACCGTGACTGGTTGGGATATTGAGGTCTGTGAGGATGCCCGTTGCCAACGTGTATGTGTGTTTAAATGGAACTCAATTGCAGAGGGTTGCATTAAGCACACCCTTCAGTTCATAGCTCACCTTCATCACTGGTCCATGCAGTACTTCCTTTTACCTCCATTCTTCATTCTCTGTGGCAGATTGTATTTTCTAAAGATGACCACAATAGATACCTCCCGTATTCTTCCAGAACCTTGCCTTGCAGAGTCTAATTCTCTTCTTAATCTAGGCAGATTTGTATCTCACTTATAATTGATAGACTGCAGTAGAAGTGACACTGTAACTTCCAAGGCTAAGTCAGGAAAGGCAATGAAAAGAAATGGAAGTCCCACTTTGGTCTCTGGAATATTCACGCTGAATCGCTGTGCCGCCATGGAAGCAATCTGACTTCCCTGAGGCTGCCACATAGTGAGGAAGCCTAAACTAAACTGGCCTGTGTAGGGACACCACACAGAGAAGCCCAGCCATCCCTCAGCTGCTCTAACCCCCCTGTACTCTCCATTTCCCTTCAACTGCAGGAGAGTTCCCAAGCCAGAACTGCCCAACTGTCGTTCCTGAATTCCTGGCCCACGACAACCCTGAGAGATAATATAATAATTGTTTTAAGCCACTGAGTTTTGGGGTGATTTGTCACATAGCATTAGTAACAAACAAATTTTGGTATCTGAAAGTAGAAGTACCAAAATAAAATAAATCTAAACCATGTGGCACTGGCTGGAAGGATCTTGATGAGAGTTAAATTCACAAACACATGAATCCAAAGGGCCTTGAGGAGAGTGTTAGCAGAAGCTTTAAG